CATTGCTTGGAAGCGCGTACGCGAACAGACTGAGAGATCGGTTTTAACCCGCTGACTCGGTACACTACTGATGTCGGTGCGCTTTTCAGCGCACCCCACATCAATCGGCCCATGAAAGCCTGGAGCTGTATGCATTTTTTCTCGAACCATTCTCTCCCCGCGACGGTGTTGGGAGCCGTTCTGGGCCTCTTTGTCAATGTTCTCAATGTCACGAGAAGATACACTCATCCCACTCGATTAACACAACCAGTCGATAATACCAATTAATACTAATGGATAGATAATAATCAACCCACCAAGCCTTGGGTTGCAACGATAGTACTTCACGTAAGGATGGTCCAACCAGTAAGGACCACAAACCAATAAAAGAACTCTCAATCTTATCTACACTTCACATACGAGCTCTAGCTTACTTAGCTTGAATGTCTACGATCACACAGAGCAAACACTACCGCGCACGCCCTAAAATCAAGTGCTCAGTTTGCTCACAACACACCCCGCAACGGCAATGTAATTGTGTACAGACCCACCTACGAGTGTACTTAAACAGTAAGCTACTCAATTACAGTGGCGGAAGCACAATAACATTAATAGAGGTAACAATTCTACTTACAAGTCTGATCATGGTGGGGCTCATGACACCAACTATCCAGACAAAAGTACTTCAACCTCACACAGCAAGTTTACCAACGACTGCCAGAGCTACCACTCGAGTGGCGCTTATTCCAACCATCATCACCCTTCTTATGCCAACCGTCATCAGAGCCATAGCTTTTACCCCAGCTCTTCTTATAGGGACGTCCACGATAGTCTTCACGTACCCAATTACGAGAGCCACGGTCTTGGAAAACCTCCTCAACCATCGTAGTCAAACGACTCAAATTGGACTTGATCTCATCGATCTGACTTTGAATATCACCCACCTTGTCCTGGGTGTTGCCGGTCTGAGCATCTTTTCCACTTTCAGTACTCATAGGAGTATCACTTCTCTGGGATAGATCCACGAGCTTACTGAAGAAGTTGTTCGACTTGCTTGGTGACGTAGGCGGTGTTCCTTTATCCGGCCTAACCACCAACGGGGAGATACTACCAATATCCAAGGC